AAAAAAACTTGCATATTTTATTGTTCAGGTTTACGCTCCATTAGGGTTCGAAATAAAAAAATCTCTAAAAATTCTACGGACCCCAGTGCCTTATTTTTTATACTATTACTATAATAAATAATCTCCCCTTTGACGATGTTAAACTTATTGTTTAAAAAAACATTAAAAACAATGCATTGTCTCTAAATATTCTATATGCCATGCTAAAAGATAATGACAAAAAAGATACGCAGCTTTTAAATCCTACTGGCTCTAAGACATTTTTTTTATAGTTAACTAAAATAAAATTAAAATAAAAAATTACTTTAAATGTGGTAATTAGCTTCGGTTTATATTTATAGAGTAAATAACGAAAATTTAAAAGTAAATTTGAAGAAAATTCTGGAAATTAACTTTAATGCTAACCATTGGTATGAGTTGGTTGACATCAGCATTACCAAAGTTACAAAGCCCCCTACAACACAAAATTTTTTAACTAAGCAAATACAATATATTATTGGCAATAATGTTAAACCTGAAATTCCTGACTTGATCCCAAAGTGTTGAACGAGCGATAAAACTAGCGTCGGAAGCATCCCAATATGTTTATGGGTTCGAGAATCGACACGCTGCATTTTAACCAAATTACTGAGCAGGAAGATCCGTAGACCATATATTTTAAAAGGACATTATTCCCATTCTTATGATGATATTTTTCATTTAAAAATATTTTTTCTAAAAAAATATATCGAAGCATATATAAACATTATATATATTAATATATAATGTTTATTTTTATATTATTGTGTAAATATATGAATAAAAGTTTCATTATTTAAGTATTCAAACAGTTAACAAGTTGTTATAAATTATTATAAATTTAAATCATGCAGCAATGCAAATATTGTTAAAAAACATTATATGTGAACATATTTAAAACGTCAGTCTTCGTGTATAATACTTTTTAAAGTTTTTTTTTTTTTTTTCCCACAAATCTTAAAAAAAAAACCCGCAAGCGACTCTTTACCCAAAATATCTCAAATTTTGAGGTTAATCATATTTCAACTGTCTCCAACTACTGCAATATTACGAAAAATGCGGAATTAAAATCAACCTACCCAAGAGATCAGACATCCCAATTATGCGGGATTGTCCCGGTTTTAGGTACGCTGCACAGGCGTCCTGAAAAAAGTCATCGGGACAGTTTTGAAATAGTTATGCTTTTGAAAAAAGATTTACATTTAAGCAAGAATATGTAACTAAATAAATATATAGAATGTAGTAACTAAGTTAAATATATGGTAACTAAGTTAAATAGACTTGCTCATGCATTAAATATATAGGAAACACAGATTATTATAAAATAAAAGTGTAAATAGGATAGTAGCTGGTGTTTTTTAAAGCCAGCTTTCTTAAATCTGGTTTGTTTTTTTATCGTTTGGCCTCGAACTTTTATTTTGGTTTATTTTTGAAAATCTGGTTTAAATCTGGTTTATTTGAAAGTCTTTGGTCTTATTTTGTTTTCTCTGGTATGCTTTTTAAAATCTGGTTTATTTAATAATAAATCAATTTAATTAAATTTTTGTTTTATGAAAAAAGTTAATTTGGGGGAAAGAAATATTTCCATTTTTTCATGTTATCGAAGAACAATCAATTTTAAAATTAAGCTTACGTTAAAATCTTAAAACGTTAAAAACTTTTACTTGTAATCTAATTAAAATGTTTTTTTTTTAATTGCCAAAAATATTTAAAAATTCTTAGATTCAAAATGAAATTTTTTGAGAAAAATCTGCCTGTGATGAATGTTGTTTCCCAAGTTGAAAAGGCATTTCAAATCTACTGTTATATCTTATGGATGCAAAAAGTGAAGAAATTGAAAATCATTAGAGAAATCGTTATTAATCATAAATTAATTGACATTGCATCATTAGAGCGAGTCTAAAAACTTTTAAGAAAAATGACTTTCTGAGAACATTTAGAAGTTTCCGGAGAATTAAACCTCTGCATTATAGATGCTTACTGCCATGGCTGTCTATGTGTTCTGTTTCTAACTATTTTGTTGAGTCTTCTCACAGTTCATCTGCATAAAAATCAGACTAAGAAAATATCAAACCAAGACTTGCATGCAGTCATTTGGATCAAATCATATTTAATAAGGCAAAAGATTTTTTACCAGGACTTTGAAATAATTGATTCAATTATGGTAAAGGTTAGAAAAGAAATCTATATCCATATGCAAGCGAAAAAAATGAATATATTTTACAGGTTGATAGTGTCGGATTTTGTATAGGTGTTTGGGAGTGAGCTACTTTCCCCACGCCGCTTTGAAGGCTGGACTGGCGCTCCATTAAACATTCACTAAGTCATTCTTTTCCTCCTCCCTCACTCTCTTACAAATTAAATTTTAATATTTAAGGATGAATTTTTGGATAAAAAAGCATTTTTTTTTCAAAATATAAATTATAAACAAAGCTTTAAAATAAAAAATTATAATCTTTTTCTTTTTTTTTTTTGGGTCTGGTTTATTTCTGGTTTATTTTTTTTTGATTTTTGGCTTGTGCCCGAAAACCTTGCAATCCTTGGTCAGTATAACTAAGTTAGTCGTAATTTATAATATGGCATAAATGCAATATTTTTAATTTCTCTAAATGATTGCAAATGTGTTCCAGTTCTATCAAAAACATAAGGTTCAAATAAAAGAACTATTTTTATTTTATTTTATTATGACAATCTTTTCCAATAAATTAAGAAGGTATTCCAAATTAGTTAAATTGAGTCTTTTTTATTCTGTTAAATAACTATTACTATGTTGTTAGAATGTTGAAAATTCCGTCATGATGTATTGTTTTTTTGTTTAAGAAGGGGAGGGGGAGAAATATGTGACACACTTTTTAGGGGGGTGCAGAATGACAGGAGGCTGGGGGGGAGGGGGTTAAAAATTTAAAAAAATAGCGTGACTATATATATATGTATATATATATATATATATATATATATATATATATATATATATATATATATATATACATATAGATATATATATATATATCTATATATATATATATATATATATATATATATATATATATATATATATATATATATATATATATATATATATATATATATATATATATATATATATCTATATGTATATATATATATATATATATATATATATATATATATATATATATATATATATATAGATATATATATATATATCTATATGTATATATATATATATATATATACATATATATATATATATATATATATATATATATATATATATATATATATATATATATATATATATATATATGTATATATATATATATATATATATATATATATATATATATATATATATATATATATATATATATATATATATATATATATATATATATATATATATATATATATATATATATATATATATATATATATATATATATATATTCTGGTATTGGTGCTATTGTTGCTAAAATTCGTAAAGTTATTAAAGTTTTCATAAAAATGTCAGAACATTAATGAACTGTGCGATGCTCTTGCTCCCATTGAGACGACTTCTAAATATTTATGCAAGGAAGATGCTGATCTTTTGCTTGCTGAAAAAGTTTTTGAAAAAGAATTTGCTGCTAAGAAGCATTAAGTTTAAGGAACATCAATAAACCTTGCTCTCCTAGAAAAGTTTGATGTTTGAATCCAAGAAAGAAAATAAAAAACATTTCTGACTAGTTCACTTTTAAACAGACTTTATCCTCAGAGCGCAGGTGAAGAGCTACCAGTTGATTATGAAGTTACTTGTACAGCTGATCAAACATTAGAAATTGATTAAAAAATCTTCTTCAGATGAATTCGCTTCATTTTTTTCAACAAACAGAGCGTGAAGTTATAACCATAAATAAGATTGAATCCAAGGTTTTGAAAAAAGAGAAAATTTATCTTATTCATGGGGACTCTCTGCAGGTACGTTATTTCTTTAGACTTGTCTCATAGTGATTCTGGGAATCGTTGGTTCTATAAATAATTTACTTGTCATACGAGTAGCTTGTTGGTAAATTGCGTAAGTTTCTTTTTCAATATTTTTCCGTAGATGGTTAAAATTGTCGATTGTTTCTTGAATGTTACTGTATGTGTGCCTTTGTAACCTTTCTGTTATATACGACAATATACTTCTTAATGAGTGCATTAAGAAGTAAGTTAGCCTCTCTTTTTCCTTGTGCGTCCCCAATCCATACTAAACTCTATATTGAACTGTAGGTTTTTTTTAAAGTGCTATCGCTTTGTACCCACGGTTAACAAAAGCTCTCAAAGATTTTTAGATAAACTCTGGAGAGACTATTTTTCATTTTTCGTTTACAAAAGATTTCGCAATGCAATGACTTTTAATTTTGGAAACAAAGTAAATATTGTTTCTTGAGAATGATACATAAAAATCAAATTATTATCATAAAAATTTTGATTAAAGTTTTTGACATCGAAAAGAGTCTAGAAATAATTAAATAAATAAAAAATAAATAAAAAAATGGCGCCCGCATTTAACAACTATTAAATAAAATATCTACAAAAAGTTAATCATTAAACTAAATATTTTTGACAAATTATTATAAAACGAGATTTTAATTTTGATTTACATGATTGTTTGATCTGTGTTTTATTATAAAACGGCGCACTTCCAAATGTAATTCAGACGTCTTTCGAACGTTCCACGTTAACCAAAAAAGAATTATTTTGGTTCCAAAAAGGTCTAGGACGTTCAGGACGCAAACTGTACGTTTTTTGTACGTCCGGCGCCCGCTGGGTGGGTAATAGTTTTTCTTGACTTGGGTCTGTTTTTATCCAATTTTAAGGCGCGACGTTATAGAGATGATGTAAATGATATAATTACGTGATAGAGATCAAAGTTGATCTCACTTCATTATATCATTCACGTCGTCTCTATCAAATTATTATATTAAATATAAACGACTTTCTTTACTTTATAAGATGTTCATAAATGAAAAAAACACAAAAAGTGTTCAACTTCTATATTTGTTATAAATAAGTATACATCAATGTTATAAATTATAATACAATAGGTTCATATAAACAGTAGCTTTAAAAAGCAATGCAAAAACAAAACATTTTACAAAAAAAGTATAATATATACAAAAATTGTATTTATTAAGGTTTGAAAGATGAAAGCAAACTGCGGTCGGCGAGCCGAATTTAGAAGAAGACACCTTAAAAATATAATTCAAAAATCAATTTTTTTTCTTTCTCATAATCAGTGTTATAATAACAGTAATACTTATCTGCATTCGTATAATTTATCAGTTCACTCGCCGACCGGAGATTGCTTACATGTGACTTTAAAAAAGGTTGCAACTTATTATTTTTGACTGAATAAGTTAAAAAAAATTTAATTTTATTTACGCAAAGATTTTTTAACAAAAATTAAAGAAAAACATAAAATAAAGAGAAAATATGTTAATTTTTTTTTTTTTACTAAGTTGTTAGAAACAGTAAAAATAACGATAAAAAATTTAGTAATTGTTTATAAAAAACTATAAAAGCCAAGAAAAATGTTGTATTAACCGCGACACTAAAAAAATACATGCTGTTTTCGCTGTTGCGTCTCACTCCAAATTACATAAAAATTAGACCATATAAAAATACTTTGTTAAAAAAAAAACGATTCAAAAAACACCGAAAATTAATGAAAAATATTTAAAAATACATATAGCAAACTAAATTATAACCGATTGAGTATCTGAAGGCTGATCTATTTTAGATTCATCATTTTCAGTAAGAAAATTAGACAAACGTTCTCCATTTTTTTTGGAAGTTAAGGTTCTTTGAAGTTGCAGTGATGGAGTCTTATCAGATTCTTGTATATTTGTCGCAACTTTGCGGTTTATATTTTTGTATACTGTATTCAGTTCAACTTCTACTTGATGTAAATTTATTCGCAGCCTTTGCAACTCCTCTAGTAAAATTTTTTCATTTGAAGATAATTTCCCGGAACTACAGTCACTCTGAACTCTGGCATTTGAAACTTGAATGTTCATGTCTTTGATGCAACTTATAAGATTTTCTTTTTTGTTCTCTAACTGTGCTTTGTATTTCTCCAAAGAAACCAAATTAGGACTAGATAAACCAGAAACAGTAGTTGTTGTCGTCGTCGCCGGTGTTTTAGAGGCATTTAACTTGATTGGTTTAGGTTTAATTTTTGGCGGAGGTTTTTTCAAGTTTGTACTTTGACGTTTAAGAATAGCTCTTCGAATGCTTTCCTGCTGACGAAGGATTCCTTTGATATTTTTAAAAGTCTCGTCAGCATTTTCTTTTTCTGGAATGTTATCTAAGAGCTCACCTAATTCGTTGAGATTATCATTCGAATCATTAAATTTATTTTCTTCCAAAATATTATTTTGAAAAGATCTATTATCAGTAATATTTGTTGATGCTGAGGCCTCAACCTCTGGTTTTGTTTTTTCTGTTTTATATTTTTGTTCACCATTGTCTTTAGATATTAATAAATCCTTATTATCTATATTTTGGTTCACAATATCTGATAATGAAACAGTTACTGAAGGTTTTTCAAAAATCAAAGATTCAACCAGTGAGTGCGACTCAAGCAAGACTCCCTCATTTACAAGTAAATCCTTTCTAGTTTCATCTGATAACTTGCTTTGTTCTGATTGTTCGAATTTGCTAACTCCCTCCTCTGACAATGGATTTGAAAAACTGAAAAATTCAAAATCCTCATGTGTATCTTCATTTTTCAACGATTTCCGATCTATTGTTCTAGAAAGTCTGTGGAAAAGTATTCCCATAGAAACAGCAACCATCCACTTATCAGATAGAGTTTGATTCGATGTTTGGAAGAGAGCAAAACTTTTTTTATTGTCTTGTAAATAGTCTAGTCTAAATACAAACCTATCTGCTACTGGATCGCTTTCATCCATAACAGAAACTCCTGAAAGATCAATTGATTTGATAATCTTTTTAGTATTGGTTAGCTTTGAAATGTAAAAAAAACCCTGGCAAATCCTACAATATCGATTTTTCTTCTTCCATTTCTGTTTGCTTGATGGCACCAGTTCAGTAAGACCTCCTAAATCAAAAACTGATTTATAATACTTAATATAATTTGCCAATATTTAAATAACACGCAATAGTTACTACAAAATGTAATTATAAACTACTTATAAATTTTTTTAAATATATTAGTGTTTGTATATTAAAATTAAATTACAGAAACGATTGTAAAAAACATTGTTTTAAACTTTTATTGAATATTTAATTAATTGAAATTTGCCAATAGAAACTATATCAATATAAATTTAAACTATATAAATATAAAGTTTTATTTTGTCATAAAAACAAATTTTATTTAAAAATAAAATTTGTTTTTATGACAAAAATAGACAAACAATTTAACTAAAATTATTCACTTGGGGTAATAAAAATATAACAACAAAAAAAATATAACAACAAAAAAAAATATAACAACAATATGTGTGTATACAAACTAAAAATGTAAACAAACTGTTAAAAGTTACTGAAGAGTTCAGACGTGATAAACAAACTGTTAAAAGTTACTGAAGAGTTCAGACGTGATAAATAAATCTTAGTAAAAAACTAAACAAAACAAAAAATTGTACTTAAAGTTTCAAGACATAAGTAACACTTTTCAAAATGGTATGAAAAAAGACACTAAAGCTTTATCTATATGTAACAAAACCCATACACAAGCTGGAAAAACATCAAATATGTATAAACTGTCCAAAAGGGACTACAATCTGTTAACAAAAGTTATTACCACCACCTATAAAAAAGCAAATCCAAAATTAAAAGATCATATAAACAAAGAAGGAAAACAAACTTTAACCAACCATGAGGTATATAAAAAAATTGAAATAAACAGATCCTCTAACTACTTTTTCACTTTGAAAGACCTTTTTTAACTTTCGGTTGCTAACTTTGTTAACAACCCATCTGTGCACCTTTTGAACTTTTTGAAAAATGAGGACAAATTACTAAAGTAATTTTATCAAAAATCAATTGTGAACTCAAAAACTTTTTTTGAATCAATGGCAAAGTATGCAAAATGTTGTAGACTGGTTTAAAAAAATCACCAATAAGCACTTATACAAATTTTTAATTTTTGATGTTAACAATTTTCCCATAAATGGTAATACCTTCAACAATATGAATTTTGCCAATCATTATATCATTATCAAAAGTGAAAACAAAGCATTGATAGAGCATGCAAGAAAACCCCTAACCTTTAATAACAACAAAGTATATATTAAAAAAAGGTGGATAGTTTGATGTTATGATGTGGGGATTTTACTTAGATTTGTTCATCACGTCTGAACTCATTCTGAAATAATTTTTACGTTTTTTAAACAGTTTGTTTACATTTTTAGTTTGTATTAATGGCTAATGATTGACTTCGGGCATAAAAGTTCGCTAATCAGCTATTTTTATTCATCTTAATAATATATATATTATTTAGATGAATATATATATATATATATATATATATATATATATATATATATATATATACATATATATATATATATATATATATATATATATATATATATATATATATATATATATATATATATATATATATATAATAACATACCGGATATAGTGCTTGGATCTTCACTTTTCTCATACTTTGTTATTGGGTTTATATCATCATTTGACATAGAAATACTGGCTTGTTTAAGTAACTTGGGTTGCTTTTTACGCAAGACTACAGAAGCAGCTAAGTCATTGTTCTGATCATTATTAACAACTTGGGTATATATATTATGGGTGGCTTTTAACTCCTTTGTCCATATCTCACATGTCTCACTATTAGATGCCACAAATACATAAGAGTTATTCTCACCTTGAAAGCAAATTGCATTTATTGGTAAAGACTCATCACTTTTATCTGTAATAAAATAACTAGAGAGTTGAATTACATTAACAGGTTGTGAATCTTGAGCATTGGAGAAAACTTCTAATATCGAATCTTTAAGAACAAGCCAACGGTTATCTTGAGTAGTTTTAGTAATTTCAACAAAATTGCCTTGAAGTCTTGAATTTTCAATAGAAATTTTTGGAAGCAAATCAGGTGCTGGATTCATGTTTAAAGCATTTTCCCCTAAAGAAATAAGACTTGAATGAGAGTCATGCGCTGAGTTAATTTCAGTGTTATGCCCTGAAACAGTATTTGAATCAGCAAGAGAATTAATAGAACTTGACTGTGTGCTAAATGTATTTGCAGTTAAAGCATTTGAATCATTTACATTGCTTTTCCCTTCTGAAAATGACAATAAAGATAACTTTCTAGAGCTATCATACATATTGTAAGAAGGTAAGCTTTTATTTGAATTGCTAGGTGAGTCACGAGAGTCTTGAAGTTTGTCACCTCCGAACAGGGCTGTAACCCAAAGATTAAGATCTGCATCTGAATCCAGGGAAAATAAATATTCTTTCCCTAAATTTAAATCAGTTACTTGATATCGATAAAGTGAACTATCTATATCTGAAAATTCTTCTATTGCAGCATTCTTTAGAGGAACCTTAAATAAAGGTTTAAGATCGGAATCATTTCTATAACAATAAAACACTTTTCCTGATATTCGACAGAACCGATCTTCAAGAATTTCATTTGCATCTTTTCTTATAACCTGTTTTAAATGTCCTCGATATGTTTCTTTAAGCAATGAAACATCTTCTTTGTTCAACACATAAGATTTATTTTTATTTTTTCTAGTAAGCGTGTCCACAGTAAAACTACGTATGAATTCTGAAATAGTTTTTTTCTGTGGATCATTAGAACTTTGTTTCTCTGACTTAGTATTATAACTCAATATTGGATCTATAGATTTTCGTTTTCCAGTACTGCTATAACCTGGTAATGATTTGGCTAAAGAAGAACTTGAGTACCCATTTTGTTCTTTTATTTTTTTCCCTTCTTTATTTGACACAGATTTACTTAAAGGCAAATGTATAGGTTCATTATTTTTTTTATTTACAACTTTAGGGTAGTTTTCTTTTAGTCTATCTATCAAAATGTCATCTGCATCAATTTGTTCATAGTGCACTTTAAGGAAAGCATTTTTCCAGTTTTGACATTCTCTGGTGGAATTTAACTTCAAAGTAATTTCTTTGTTTTTTGTCTCATCTTGTAAACGCAAAATTAAAGGATCTGTTCCATTTTCATCAATAACTTTAACATTTAAAGCTTTATATTGAGTGGTTGGAATTGTAGCTGTTATGTCACTGTAAAATTTCAACCATTTATCTTTGGTAAGAACCATAAAGTATTCAATGTGTTGAAAAGTTTGTTTTAAAGCTTGAAGTTCAATCACCAAACCGCAATATATAGAATCTTTGATTTCTGTTTTACTTCTTTCAGAAGTATTGTAAACTTTTCGCTCAATTAATGCAGTAGAAGGGGCTGATTCATTACATGTTGGATAATCGGAATCAGACACCTGTAAAAAATTAATCAAAGCAATTTAAAAGAATACCTTATAAAGTTGATGAAATAAAATATTTTTTATTATTTCACATACCTCCACATGGTAAATAGCATCTTTTAATGAATGAGAATAGGATCGAGATAATCGAGAAACATTATTGTAAGAAATTTTTTTTTCGCATACACTGCCAACAAATTTCTAATAAACACAAGAAAAGCTTTCTTACTAAAGTAAAACATTCTATTAGTTTTTTTTTGCAAATTGTTTAAATATTTAGTAGATTTATTTTAAACTTATATTTACTTAGAGTTTTGAAACATTCATTCTAATGATTAAAATAAAAATTTGATAGATTTCATAAGATCTTTTAGTAGTAATAGTATGACTGAAAAGCACAGATATCAAGGAATAAACAGATATTAAGAATTATTAAAAAAAATACACACAAATTGTTTGTATTCCAAGTACTACCTTTAATGAGCTTATCCATTCCAACCAATCATTGTTAGTAACTGTACTTAGAACAATCTTTTGATCTTCTTTGGTACATAACTGGAAACAGCAATTTACTTCACCTATATCACCATTATGAAGAAGTGTCAAGGTTGCACAATTAAGAATTATTTTAACATCCAGGTCATCATTAGTAGAATCCTTATAACAAAAGAAACTCTCATCTTTTAGGCAACACCACCGACGACCCCAATGGTTTCTAAGCTTTCTAAGCAAAACACCTAAATTTAAAAAAAATTTAAAAAAAAAAAAAGTAAATAAATAATAAAGACTAAAATAATTATAATAAAGATTTTCAGCTAATTAAAGATTAGCAAATATGTGACCGTTTTTTAACTTGTTCTTTATATATGTCTTTCAAAAACTATTCGAATCTGTTTTTATGCCTTATACTTTAATTTTGCGTATTTAACATTTGTTTTTGCAGAATATTTCAAGATTAATCACTTTTAAATTCCATCAAAAGTGAAAAACACGGAATAACAAAATGAAAACAACGGTTGCAACAAAATTATTTTGGTAAATTCTAAACTTATGACATTAAGTATGTAATTTACATTAGGCAACTATAATAAAATAAGCTGCTTTAAAATTTTTTTGCATACATTGCAGGGATGTAACTCCACAATCATCTGATGGTACAGAACAACTTGTTTTCACAAAAATACATCTGAAATTTAGTCAGAAATACTAGTCAGTAGCCTAGTAAGGTGACCAGACAGTTATTACACAAGAGTGTTCAAGAATTCATAGTTTTAAGCCATATTTTAAACTATGAAGATTTTTTTCTTTGTGATTATTTTAAAAAAACCTTTAAAATGCATTAAAAGTAGTTATATTGTCGAATTATATAATTTTACTGAACATGGTAAAAAAGAGTCCACTTGATCAAAATTAAACATGCACACATATCAAAATGTTTCAAAGTGCGACAATGTTTTTAAAAACATTGTGTTTTTGTCGTCTTTTGAAGCAAATATTTTTTCCAATTTAAAATATATTTCAAAATTACATTTCCTATCAATTCAAAATGTGAATGTTTCATTTTTTAAAATTGTCATATCATGAATTCCACGAAAATTGTAACCTTAACTTGATTTTATAAACTAATTTTTTACAGTAAATTTATGGTGTAATTAGCTTTAATATGTATCTAATCACAAGAAAATATTAAATAAATGAATAAATAAGTTCGCTAATTAATGTTTATGGTAATTAGTGAAACCGAGGTATGTTTACAAATTGAAATGAAACCAAATTATACTTAAGTTGTATTGCAGGACATAAAAATTATACTTAAGTTGTATTGCAGGACATAAAAATTATACTTAAGTTGTATTGCAGGACATAAAAATTATACTTAAGTTGTATTGCAGGACATAAAAATTATACTTAAGTTGTATTGCAGGACATAAAAATTATACTTTTTTTAATTATAGTTTTTTCTATTTTTTATTTTTAAGTATTTTTTCAATTTTTTTTAATTCAGGAGCAAGAGCAACAACAAGTTTTAGAAACAGTTTTTTTTTGTTAGAGATTTTTTTTTTGTTATATGCACATTACAGTTTTTTTATTTTTATAACATAAATGTGGTAAAAAAGCTCAAATTGGTGATTCCGTCACGATGGAATTCATGATATTCATATTTTGAATCACATGAATTGACATGCGTATTATTAATAAATTTTTAATTTTGTCATGAATAATGAACATGGAAGTTTTTTCTAAAAAAAAAAAGTTGCTATATTTTGAAATAATTTAAAGCATTTCAACTTGTTTAAACTATGTCTTTAATCTAAAATATAAATCCGAACATAATTGCAATTATGTATTTAATACTGCAACATACTTAAAAGAAGGAAACATCAAAACTGTTTCTATTTAAGTAATTTTAAAAAGTTTGGTTTTATAAGGTTTACTTTAAAATAAAAACACGATAAAACTAAATAATTTTCATGGTTACTTTCACTTGAAGATCAAGCATTAATAATAAAATAATTTTTCACTTTTTTAAAACAGTTTATTTTATTAGTCTTAATTTAGTAGTCTAGTATTTCAATTAATTTTTTTTCAGTTTTTTCTTCCACGGCTAAGAAAAAAAACCCAATATTTAAATATTAGACTCCTGATAATCATAGCGGTAAGATATGAACATAATTTCAGTTGCCAGACCAGAAAAAAACATTAATTTACACTACTGCATTGAAATATAATTACCTTGCATAACAACACCATGGTCTTCATAAGAATTTTCCTTGCTTATTTTGAGAATGTTATTGTTTTCTTCTTTTTCAGCTGAGTTTTGTTCTTAAAATAAAAATATGCTGAAATAAGATGATTTTGTACTTTTCATTAATACAATGTATTTGCATTGTCATTAATATTTTGTATGAATAATAATTATATTTTCAACTAATAATTTTTCAAAAATTACTAGTTTAAAGTCAAAATTTACAAAAACAATTCTAATACTTGAATCAATTATGTATATAATTAGGTTGCAAAGGTTGCAAATGTGGATAAAAGTTTTTACAAAACAAAAGTACAGGTTTACCTTTGAAAATAAAAAGTCAATTTTTGGTTCTATTAAATAGCTAACATTTTTTAATAAAAAACAGAAATTTTCCTCAGCCTGAAGTGTTTGAAGCTTCAAGAAATAATTCTTTAATATTTATAAAAGATTTAAACATTTTATATTAGCTACAAAAGATATTGCAGTGCTTGTTTTTCTAAAATTTTATGTGTATATAATTTAGAGATGTCAGAATAGTGATTCTGCTAAACACCAAATAATTGGCTAGGCGCTTGGCTTAAACAAACATATTGGCAACACTTAGTTAATTTTGAAAACTCTGATTCATTGACATAAACAAGTTAACTACTCTGTGCGCATTTTTGCTTTATTTGTGACTAGGCCCTGTCACAACACGCATTATTTGTTGACTGTTACATCAAATTGTTTTAAGCTGGTTCGTTACTATAAATTGTTATTGCGCCATATATTTAATGTTTATAAATTATGAATATTTATTAGCTCAAAAATTTTTATTAAAACAGTTATTTATAAATTTTTATAAGTTCATACTCTTGAAACTATTCAAAAAGATTACAAAAATAATCAGTTCAGGTATATCTTGCATTTCTGAGGTGTTTTAAGAAGTTGCTATTGATATAGCACAAAGAACTCTAAAATTATTAAAAATGATATTTTTACTACAACCTAAACTTTATTGGGTTTAACTTAAATGGGAGTGTCGGTTATATGGTAGCCTTTTTTATTGATGCCGGTTTTTAAAAATTAATTTCAAGGAATCAGTTAAAACACAATAAGCGAAATAACAAAATTTAAAAATTATGAGAAAGATAAAGTCAATGAAGAGTTAATCCTTCTCAGTAAAAGCTTGACACTGATGAACCATCACCGGTACCTAGTAGCGTCAGTGATGATTCGTCTCCATTTTGTAAGAAAAAGTAATGTAAATGAAAATGATCAAACCATTATAAATTATAACAACACTTTTAAAAAGCGCCAAAACTTTTAGATAAATTTACAAAGTTATAAGTTACATTACACAAACTTCAAATTAAAATGCGCTTTAACTAAGCATCTTTATTTAAAACTTTAAATAGAAAAACATAAGATTTAATATAAACACACATATTAACAAAAAAAAATCAGTTTTATGACAAAACTTTTAGAAAAAAATAACTTTATTGTGCATTATTTAACTTACATTAAAATTGCCAAAGTTCTTTCATTATTTTCTTAAAATTTTCTTTATAAAAAAAGTAAAATATTTGATAATAAAATGAGGATTTAGAATAAAGAAAAACGTTCAAAGAATTGATACTTCATTTTTAACGTAAAATATTTAGCGTAATAGATAATGCAATTAAATTCATGATGAAAATAGCATTTTATAGAATTTTTTATCATATATCTTTAGTGTTGACATCGTGTATAAGAGTATATGTTATGTTAGTCAGAAAACATCAATTAATAGGAATTCTCTTAATACAATTAATAAATTATTATTAGAAATTTTTGCTGGATTATAGTTACCAGCATCATCAGCTCGTAAAAATTATACAATAAAAATATTTTGTAACGTTAGAAACAGTTTAAAATTAACCTACGTCAGCAGTTGAATGGCTTCTTTCTTGCTTACGTAAAAATGTAAAAAATGGAGTCCAAAATTTAGTTTTCACAAACTGCCCGTTATCTAAATTAATTCCGCCATGTATAGGTGAACATTGGAACCTCTGTATTTCTAGAGCTTCACGCACTTTTTGATCAAATTTTTTTGTTTCAACTTAAATTGTTTTTACGTTTTTCCACTTTATTTTTTGTGAGCAAAACTTATTATGGGTGGCTATTGCAGATTGATACTATTTCCCCTCGTTTAAACTCTTTAGATGTTGAGTCCAAGTCCTAATTCGAAGTTTAGTTTCGCCTTCGTATCTCTTTGAGCATTTGCATTCAATAAAATAAGTTCTGGGTTGACTATTTTGTGGTAATTTAGTTTTGTTTTTTGACATCAGTAATGTTTTTAAATCTGGATTTGATTTGAAGACTACTCTATAGCCAGCTTTCCGAAATATTTTTCTTAGTTTTGGGGATAGCGATGGTATCCACGGCACCTTTAGTTCTCATAGACCAATTAAATAAAGATGATTCCTACAAATGTTCTACCAAACATACTATATCTGAAACAAAACAACACATAGAGCTTTGTTTACACCATTGTTATTTCCTTTGGAACAACGAAATCCATGAACTTGAGAATTCTGGTCCTATAGGTCTTTCATTCATGGTCGTACTTGGAGAATCATTTTTACAACATGAACAAAACGCTTTCAAAATTTCAATGGCAGTAAATCCTCCACTTGACCTAAAATCTTATCTAAGATATGCCGACGATAGTCACGCTAGATTTTCTAACACTCAAGAAGCAGAACAACTCCTAACTATCTTTAACAATCACTTTTAACAAAAGTGACTGTTTAAGATAGTTAGGAATTAACTTTTAACAAAGACTTTTAACAAAAGAAAAGTGTAATTAAACTAAGCTGCGTTTTTCTACTGTAGTATTTTTTTAACATACAGCAAAACAAATTTATTTGTATTATTTTTCTTAACATCGCAAAAAAAATTTTGTAAAAAGTAAAAACAATAAATTATTTTTATTTTATAGGAGCAACTTATTTTTTACAGATATCTTAATAATTTTTAGATTTATATATCTTACTTATATTTCTTTAATTATTTAAATTAAAACAAATATTAAAGCTTTACTTACCAATCTCATGATTTTCATACAAGTATTTTACATTATATAGAACATTTTATATACGGTCTCTTGTTATAGCGGAAGAGAGCGCAGTATTATATATTCTGATTCTTAATTATTTTTATTTAAACAATGGGAACTATTTTCTAACTTCTCTGGTTATTTTTAGCCTATGACAATTTTTTGTTTTCCCGTTGAAAAAAAGTATTTATTAACAATTACTTTCATAAACTAACAGTATTAATCAGAGATATTTAATGAATTGTTAACTTTTTTTATTATAAAATTTTTTTTATCACGCTGATTTAATTTAAATTGCTAAATTTGCTGAATTGGATACAGATAGAAAGGAAATACCATTTTATTTTACATTTGATTTTTGATAATAAAATTTTTAAAATGTCAGCAACTCCATACCAATTAGAACCTGTTAAGATTATGAAAAAAAATACAAGAATACACTAAACAATAGTTTAGTGTATTTTTGTACTTTTTTTTTAACACTTGGCAGTAGTATCAGATATGAAAATTCGTGAAAGGATATGTGAGATCCTGATTTTGCATTAAAAGTACAATTAATTGCAACACAAGTCGGCATTATAAATCTTGATTATAAGTTTACTGTTCAATATTTTATAACCATCAAATAAAAAACATGAAGTTTGTATATTTTTGCCCGTTCTATACAACTAATATTCAACCAAAATACGGACAAATTATTATTAAATAACGCAATACTTAACACATTAATTAAAGGCAATAATTCAAGATAGATGGTAATTTAAATTGTTAAAATGTCATAACGCGCATTAAAAAACATATTATATTTGGTATTTCCAAATTTGTGTTGTAATTGGCATTTGTCTCTTAACATGAAAAATTAAAAATTTTTAAAAACACAATTAACAAATACAAATTTTCAAGCAATTTTCTCTTCCAATTCTCATTTATTCAAAGAAAATTAAGCTATTAAACTTTTATTTCTCCCATCTAAAAAAGAACGAGTGACGCAAAAAAAAAAAATATTCTTTACAACTCTTATTCATTCAAAGTTTAATTGCACGAAACTTTTCTTTCTCTTTTGTTCTACTCTTTTATAAAAAGAGCGCCCTATGAAATAAAAACTTTTATTTTTTAATATATAATTATAGTTTGAGATAAAATTAAATTAGAAATAAATCAACAATGAGCAAAGCAACGAACAGATTAATCTGGAACTATTTTGATATTTATGAAAATAATCAACATAAACAACATTACCAACAACAGTTATCAAATGAACAACACAATCTCGCATAATTTTAGAGGCATTTTATTTTTATTGCTTAGTCGTTCTAAATAATAAGTAAATTTAGTTCAAGTTAATAATTCAATATTTACAGTTGCAATATAATAAAGAAATGGTGTTTAATACTGAACTTTTTATTTAGTTATTTATTTTTTTACCTACATTTGTTATAAAAAACTTTAGAACCCCCGTCATTAAGATGATTTATTTTAAATATACTTCGACGTGATTATTCAAACTAATTTTTTTCGTTTGACTTTACGAACTTCATGCAAAACAAATTGAAACGAAATATCGTCTAACCAAATAAAAAAGCTGTTACTAATTTTATACGGTTAATTAATGTAAAACAATTTTTGAGCTAATAAATATTCATAATTTATAAACATTAAATATATGGCGCAATAACAATTTATAGCAACGAACCAGCATAAAATATTTAAGGTTTTTAATATCTTTTTAAATATTAATAGAAGAAAAAAAAAAAACTAAACAAATAATCAAAAAAACTTCGACTAAAAATAAATAAAAATATTTCCAGAGTTTCTTTTGTTAAAAGTCTACCGAGACGTCAAATACTAAAACTTTTATGAATTAAACGCGCTTCAAAGGAATTGCCAAAGTCTGTAGATTGCGACGCATAATTTGAAGACTCCGAGTAGTTGAAAAAAATGGAGAAGACGAGCTTCGGCAAAAACAACAACATTTGTTTTTCACGGTATGCATTCATTATTTATTTTTAATCAAAAAAATTTGGTTCAAACCATTTTTTTAACATTATCTTTAATATGAACACAACATGTGTTGGGAGTTTGGGATCCCTTTAAAGGTTATGTTCACAAGGCTTATTCTTTATGCAGTAATTTATATTTACAGGATGAGATTAATTTCCTTATTCAAATGTTTAACGAAAATGGGTACAACATATACCAACTTAAACCGATTGCAAAATTAATTGGAAATAAACGGTCTCTAAAAGTCAATAATATTCAATCAGACTCTCTTAACATCCCTACTGTATTGTTGCCATGGATACCATCGCTATCCCCAAAACTAAGAAAAATATTTCGGAAAGCTGGCTATAGAGTAGTCTTCAAATCAAATCCAGATTTAAAAACATTACTGATGTCAAAAAACAAAACTAAATTACCACAAAATAGTCAACCCAGAACTTATTTTATTGAATGCAAATGCTCAAAGAGATACGTAGGCGAAACTAAACTTCGAATTAGGACTTGGACTCAACATCTAAAAAGTTTAAACGAGGGGAAATAGTATCAATCTGCAATAGCCACCCATAATAAGTTTTGCTCACAAAAAATAAAGTGGAAAAACGTAAAAACAATTTAAGTTGAAACAAAAAAATTTGATCAAAAAGTGCGTGAAGCTCTAGAAATACAGAGGTTCCAATGTTCACCTATACATGGCGGAATTAATTTAGATAACGGGCAGTTTGTGAAAACTAAATTTTGGACTCCATTTTTTACATTTTTATGTAAGCAAGAAAGAAGCCATTCAACTGCTGACGTAGGTTAATTTTAAACTGTTTCTAACGTTACAAATTTAGAGTAATTTCCAAGCATTGGCGCAAATAGATTCTGATTTCAAATCCAATTAATTTTTTCAACAATACTTTCTTAATGTGTTCCTGTACTGAAAAAAATACTGTGCTTATTAATTTAAGAAATATGGTGTATACTATCTTTAACAGATTAAACATCTTTAACAAACTATCTTTAACAGATTAAATTAAATGAATTAACACTTTGGCTATTGTAAAGTGATTGTTTGTTGATCTTTGAGCTTTTTCCCAGTCATACTACAAACTTTATAATTTTTACCTCAATTTGGTATCAAATGATGTTTTTTTTTTAAAATACTGCTACTGGAGCCATGGATCAAACAAATCCAAATTAAAAATGGTTTCCTTAAAAGATTGGGTAAAGGACTTTTGATCTTTTGTTAAAAAATTAGATCAAAATGTATCAATGCAATTCAAAAATATATATATACACATTTTTTGTGGTTATTTAAGGTGCTATAAGAACACCTAATTTGCTTGCTTCATGCTGAAAAAAAGTCTAGAGTAAACATCGAACCACAGATCAGTGAAGAATACAGCATTTTTTCGGTGTTTGAGATAGCTAACAGACATGGCACAAACTCCAAACATTTGTATGTTTATACTTAGGTCAAATAATAATGCTTTGCAAATTATTGCGATGATTGGAGGCTGCAAAATATTGCAATAATTTTAAGTTTCATAGTAGTTTCTCTCAGCGTTCATAAATTATGACCATACAAAGTTTAAACCCCCCAAATTTTATATGTTCATAACTTTGAACGCTTGGAGATTGTAAAACAATACTAAAATTTATCAATAAATATAAATTTAGTTAAGAATAGCAAAAAAAGTATTTCATCAACTTTCACGTTTGGGGCAGGGGGGATAAAATTTTAGGGTTTTTTTGTTCCCAGCTTCTAACCATTGCAACTTTTTAAAAAAGCGTCATTATTTGACATAAAGTATAAACATGCAAATGTTTTTTTCATTAAAATGATTTTGCTCTATGTTAACTATCTCAAACACCAAAAAATACTGGATCTGTCACAGATACTTACTACTGGATCTGTCACAGATACTTACTACTGGATCTGTCACAGATACTTACTACTGGATCTGTCACAGATACTTACTACTGGATCTGTCACAGATACTTACTACTGGATCTGTCACAGCTACAGATCTCTAGTTTCTGAATTTGCTTCAGAATTCAGCGTTTAAACCATGCTAATGTATAATAAATATTTATATACATATAAATTTTCAACCTAAGAGAAATATGTCAAGAAAATATGTAAAAAAATAATTTTTAAATGTAATTTTAAGTTTCAGAGTTTGTAGGTATCAGATCAAAGTTCAAATTATTAGAACCGTTCAATAAAGAGAAAGTGAGAAAGCAGTTGCCATAGCTAGCTCCTTGAATCCACTCTTCTTTTTCCATTATTTTGTTACAAGAACTTTTTATTTAAATTAGCTTCTGAATCTTCTCCATTCTCATCACACACCCTGCATTATCTTGAATAAATTTTACTGTAAGCACAGCAAAATTGAACTTTTTATTACTAAATATTTTTCTTATAGCAAGAGATACGTTTCTTGTTTTAAGAAATAAATATCCAACCCTGCAATTTATTTTAAAAAATAGGAAATATATTCTGGTTTTGAGGATTAATTTTCTTAAACTATGTTTAATAGATTTACAATTTTGCTGTGAGTTCTGATGAGTAGTTAGCAACTTTGAAAGATTTTAAAAGTTTTGGAATTCATTGTATCTGAAAAGTCTGAGGGAGTCTCATCTATAGGCATTTTTCAACCTATGACTTAGAATATTAAAAATTAACCAGTAGTCTGATAAAATATACAATTCAAGATCTAGTGGCTGGTCTTTATCAACAAAAACTGTTTTCAGAAGGATTTCAGCTTCGATTCTATCCATTTTTACATCTTTTCAGAAAAAATACCCCTATGGTTTTACCATGATTTGAATTTCTCTTCTGCAGCAGGCTCAATATACATCTGTCAATAGTCTTGTTGATCTTAAAAGTGTAAATTAAAAATAACGAAATGTAGATAAAATAAGGCTTAAAATGACACTGCTAAAAACTTATTACATTTAATTTTAACAAGATAAAATCAAAGTGCTGTTTCTATTGATTTCATTTTTATTATATTTCTACTAGTTTTAAGAAAAGTCTGTCATTGGAAAAAAAAATTTAGAGTTATTTACTTTGTATTTTACATCTGATTTTTAACCATTTCGCAAACCATTGTTTCTAAACAATTTATTACTTTATGACATAAATTTTTCTTAAATAATAAGACTAAAATATCAAAACTTATGAAATTAAGTTATACTTTAAAAATCGCAGAATCAGAAAAGTTGCAGGTCAAAAACCGTGATGCTTTGGAGAGAGAAATATAGTCAGCCATTCTATTGATCTTTTTGAGTATTTTATTACTCAGAATAAAAACCTTTTAGAGAAATGAAACTTGAATTTCATGAAATTCAAGGCATGTAAAACAGCTCCATATTTGTTAAGTTTTCACCTAATAGTTTGATTTTTATCCACAAGTTCACAATAATCTCTGCACTTCTTAAAAGTCTAAATGTAAATAATTTTAAAAATAAAAACTTATACATTTTATTTTTGCAAACAGATATTTTAAAGTGAAGTTTATCTTTACCCTGCTATTTTTTAACCTTTTATGGTTTTATGATATAAATTGTATATTCTCTGGCTTAACAGTTTTATTTACGGCTACAGCATATATGAAGCTCTCCAACATAATGGCAGGAGGTTAACAAGAATAATGGTTGGCCAGGAAACTTAGCTAATCTTGTACAAACCACTTTTAAATAGACGGGGCTTGAAGTGAGTGAACTGTATGAGATCAAAAGTATCTAACAAACTTCTAATTGTTGTGTATTGTGTCTCAATGCTATCATGTTTAAAAACCACGTTTAATTTTTAATTTCATAACGAATTTGTGTGTTTTTAAAATACCACCAGTAAACAAAAATATTACTAATAAAAATGTACACAATCGGTATAGATAAAAAACCTTCCATTATTTGCAACATTGTTATATATAGTTAATGATCTGTAAATTTCTATTTACGCCAATTGTTTAAAAATGCCCTTAAAAACTCAAAAAATGTAAAAATATTAAACTTTAAAAGAGGGGCGCAAGTATTAAGTCACCCAAAATAAAAAATTTCATTAAGAAAACAATACCTTGGGAATATTTTATGACACTCCGCAAATTAAAATTTGTTCATGAGGGTCAAATGGGATAAGCTAAGATACATACATACATATACATTATCATTTTAGATTTTATTGTGTAAATAGTAAAAAAAACTTTGTTTTTTTTTAAATTTTGAAACCGACATTAAAAAATGGTTTGCATGATTAAAACATAAAAGCGATTCTAAACCAAATAAAATTTTTTTTTGCCAAAAACAAAAAGACAGCAACAAATTACTTAAAATCAAAATAAGAAACATACCAAACTCAGAATTTAGATCAGTGATAGGTTTCTTAGATACTGTGTTAGACAAACTTTCATTGGAAGTATCAAATTCACTGCAACTTATTTGCTTTATATCTGTCATGGCCCTTTTTCGTTCCTGGATAAAAAAACTAAATATTAAATCTACCTTAAGTTATATAATTCTGAAAATATAAAAGTTATTACAACTTTTTTTTTCAAATGAAATTATAAAAAAACATTTAACAATATAATAATGACTATAAACATTTTTTTTATTTTTATGTTTTTTTTATTTTGATATTGTTTTATATTAAAATAGTATAAAAATAACTTTGAGTTCACCATTTCATAAAAATAGATTATCAAGCTGATAATAAAAAGATGAGTTAGTAAACCATAAGTCTTTGAAATGTTAGGCTTACAAACTCAAAATGTTAGCCTTAAAACTCAAATACAGCAATTTTAAAAAAAGTACTGCCACCACAGCAACCACTATATTCTTACCATTGATCCTGGCAGAAATTTATCTTTATTTGTTTCTTTTGCAAGAACTGAAAGCCATTTTATAAGTTCACTTCTAGACTCAGCAGCAAAATAATAGACATCAGAATTAACTTTAAACATTTTAAAAGCAAAACTTTTCCAGGTTTCTTCAGCACGATCAAGTTGGTATCCATGTAGCTGAATTTTTAGGTAAGGTTCAGCTACATCAGGACTTCTAAATATATCTTAATTAATTAATTACAAGCACAAAGTAGTTATATATGTTTAAGATTAAAATTTTATAACATATCGTAGTGTATAAAAATAAAATACAAAATTAATAACTATTTTTATATGCTGCTTGCAGCCTTGTTTATATATAATATATATATATATATATATATATATATATATATATATATATATATATATATATATATATATATATATATATATAGAGAGAGAGAGAGAGAGAGAGAGAGAGAATAGTAAAATATATTGTTAGTAGTTAAATTAAAACATTGCTATAGAAACCTGTAACAAATCAAACATTGATCTTTAACTTTGCAGTAACGCTTTTGCCATATTGCTGGCATCCTTCTCTGGTGCAAAATTCCACAAAACACAGCAGATAAATCATAAAAAAATGAGATTTCTTTTTCCCATTTAGTTTTACTTTGCTTATCTGTAGAATTTTGATTAGAAGTGAAGCCCATTTCTTCAGAAGAAAGAGAATCAAATGAAGAACTAAGAGAATCATCTAAAAATATTAAACATAATTTTTGTAGAATATAAAATAATAAATTTTTTTAAAAATGCAAACAAAAGTAATTCTAGAAAATAAATAAGAACTAATATCAAATGTAAACATGAAAATTTTTTACCACCCCGGATATATATATATATATATATATATATATATATATATATATATATATATATATATATATATATATATATATATATATATATATATATATATATATATATATATATATATATATATATATATATATATATATATAGGCATCGGCGGGAAGCGAGAGCTTTAACTTTTGCTCTCGCCCACACTCCCCTAAAACGGTTTACGGGAGCGATTTACAGCTCTCGCAAAAGTATAATTTTTTCACTCAAAAGTTTAATTATCATTGTAACTAAAATAAAAAACGCAATCATTTTAATAATTATCTTTAACAATTCTTAAAATCCCTGCATTCTATTACAATAAGAAAATATAAAACTTTTTTTATAAGTAATAAAAACAATGCTTGTCTAAAGAATTTAGAGAAGCAACTTGCTTAGCTCCCCATGTTGGTTTTAGGAGAGCTTTTCACCGCTCTTGCACTTATTTCTTCCCACCAAGGCCTATATATATATATATATATATATATATATATATATATATATATATATATATATATATATATATATATATATATATATATATATATGCCTGTGTATATATTGCTTCTCAAGGATGGATATATATTTGTGTGTATATATAAATAGGTATGTATTAGGGGTACCCATAAGTAAACAATTATTTAAGTGATCAACTGTTATCCAGGGTGGTAGCCCTCTCAGCTATCAATTTTCAGTTCACAACAAGAGGTAACCCACTGTTATTCAGAGTGGTAGCCCTCTAATCAAGAAAATAAACAATATCAGTTAAGGAATGAATTTAGATTTTCTTCAACAGGACGATTTGCCAACATTGGGTGCAGGTTTACACTCACAAACAAGTAAAGACATTCATAACTGGTGTAGCCAGTTTTTTAATGTTTTTTTGGAACTCTTTGATCGCATGATCAAAGAGTTCCAAAAAAAAGTCAACCAAATGTTGGGTCGGATTAGAAAATGCTTCGTTTGTTTAGATATAAGACTGCTGAGAATACTTTGTTTGTTTTGTACGACCACTGTTAGAGTTTGCAGTACAAGTTTGGTCACCTATTCAAAAGGGAGAAATTGAGTTATTAGAAAGGGTCCAACAGTTTTAAAGCAGGTCTTGATTTCTGGATGAGCAGCAAATCAGCTATTATAGTGTGTTAATACCACACTCACTGGCTCACACCAATAACAGCAATTAATAATACTAATACTAATACTCAACTTGAGTATCTTAGGCTTTTTTATTTCAAGTCTGTAATGTTTTCATATTTGTAACGCAACCTCTCCAAGTTTTCCTATTTCTCTACTTTTTTTCTCCTGAAACAAACAAACTATGTGCAGATATCCAATCATCTGCATCTTTAGGCTCTACATGTCTAAACCAACTCGATCTTCCTTAACACTATATGATACGTTTACTATCCTTAATTTCTGTCTAAGAAATTTATTATAACTTTATATGTATAAATAAATTGAGCTGTAAACACAATATAGCCCATTGTTAACACAATATAGCCTGTACAATAAGACTTTTTATGATTTTCTTCTTTTTAATCATAAACCTTCAATACCCATAATTCACTACCATATATTATAATACTCTGGATGTGATATAAAACTTAAATTTTACTTCTTTAATATACAATACTTTAAACTATAAAAAACAAGTAACTTTTTTATAGTTTAAAGGCTCTTCGAGCCTTGATAAGTGCTAATCTTTAATTGATAAATATAGTTTAAAGTAGTACTTTTTATTTTTTAAACCATGCAGCAAAAATAAATAAAATAAAAAAATTAGATAAAAAAGTTAAAAAAAATTACCAGTTCAAATAACTATTATAGTTTTCTTACAGCAGGAAAAAAAAAAAAAAAAAGATGAAAGTTGCCATTTTATAAGTACATCCCAAGTTTCAAATCAAAATTCTTTTTTTAAAAACTATGCACAGTGGTGAATACCTCAAAACAAGTAAAAACTCTAAACTGTTAAAATTACTTACAAATGAAAACCTTACCCTTTTGTTTTTTGAAATATATATACTCATTAAAAAAATCAATTACACATCAGATAGTTGTCCCATATATAATATAATTACCATATATGGTATTTATATAAAAAAAAACTATATACTTTTGTCCATTCTTAATAAGCGCAATTTTTTTATTTATTTGATGAATACATAAAGATGAATAATTTAAAGAAAATTTTTGATTATTCTTTATGGAAGTTTTTTGAACAATCTGTTCACACAAACCTCATTAAACATTTCATTTAATAAATAAAATTTGTCATGCAAGTCAAAGTCTTTCATTGAAAAAAAAGTTTTAAAATAAAAATAATTTTTTATTAGTTTAACAAGTTGTTTAGAAAAACTTCCCAATATTTTTACCATGTCTAACGCAACAATTTTTATAACAATTAATAATGATTTTTGTGAACAAATTATTAAATAACTTCATAAACATGCATTTTGAGATAATGGTCTTAATCGCGACAATAGATAATATGTAAGTCATTTTGAAATATAATTTTAGCTATTATGCTGCAGAAGAAAATAAAAATAATTGAAAATAAAAAAATAAAAATAATCAAACCAAATAAAAATCACAAAAAAGAAAAAGAAAACATTGTAATTTTTTCAACATCTTTTTATGAATATTTTTAAACATCTTTAATATGCGACAACCAGTATATCTTTTTTTAGTTATTTTAAAAATAATTACATTTTACATGTTATTAAAAATAATTACATTTATTAAACTATTAAAAATGATTACATTTATTACTATTTAAAATAATTAAATTCATTAAACTATTTAAAATAATTACATTTGTTAAACTAATAAAAACAATTACATTTATTAAACTATTAAAAATAATTAAGTTTATTAAACAATTAAAAATAATTATGTTTATTAATTTATTAAAAACAATTACCTTTATTACAATTATATATACTATGTGTACAAATATATATTTAAATAAAATTTATTCATAAAAAAAAGTTTTTATTTAATAACGATGCTTTTAAATGATTTACTTTAAAACTTTTTTCATGTTAAAACTCTATGTTCTATAATTAAAAAAATTAGTAATCAAAATATGACCTACTTTTTTTTTCAGTTTTACACCACTATGCATGTGCCACTACACAGGGAATTAATGTGTATGGTTTAAATTTATTTACTTTAAACTGCTTCAGGTTGTTTTTGTTAACTAAATTTAATAGCATAGACAAATACCATTTTAAAAATACAAAGGTTTATAAGATAAAAAATCAATACTGTCTGAATAAATATTTGTTTCCACTTGAAGTTGTGAAGTTCTAGGGGGTAGCTCAGGAGGTATATCATTAGGTAATGGTGGTAAAGGCATTGCGCTGTAGTCTGCATTGTCATCAATATTAAACTTTGAACTGTTAGAGGAAGCAGGAAAACCTATTTCTTCATAGTTATACGATACTTGATCTGCAACACCATCACCAACAATACCAGCTCTATCATAGCTAGTCATTACTTCATAATCTTCATAACCTTTAGGAACCATTTTAGTGTTTAGCTATAATAAAATGTTAAAATGTTAAAATTTCACTGAAAAAAAATTTGCCAAACATTTTTATCAATCAATTTATTTAACTAATTATCTCACTGATAAAGTAATTAGCAAATGCATTTACTTGATATAAAGGACTTGAAAAAGTTAATCAAAACATAAAAAAAGGGATTAGAAAATGTAAGTATAATGTTAGAGAAAAATAAAATGACCAAAAAATAATCATAACTTTTTTGTAAACATTTTTTTTTATAAATAAACATTTAAAAAACCCTTATTAAAATATTCAAGTGTAAAAATGATCGAGTATAAATATAATATTTTCTGGAGAAATAGGTAGAGGTAGAGAATTTATAAAAACTTGGAAAAAGTGCATAATGAACAAATTGAGAAGCTAAGATTAAGCAGAGAAAATAGCCAAGGTTTTATATGCTAAAGAAATGGCATAATTATAATAATTAGAAATTAATTAGAAACAATAACAACCAAAATAATTGTAATTATGATGATCATAGTAATCATGATAATAGTAGGTAACTATTTATTATTATCATAAACTTTATACCCCCCCTCCTCTCCTCAACAATCCCAAAAACTATAACTCATCACATTTAATCACCCCCTGCTAAAAACCCAGCTACAAACTTGGCCTCAGTGAAAGCCTACATTGGCAACTTTGGCTAAAGTTATAAAGTCTGCTCTGGCAACAGAATAACTTTTTAGTTTAGAAGTCTAGAAGTATAATATTTACTAAAATACTTCCTAATACTAAAGGTTTTTATTTTATAATATAGATGTTGTTAAAATAGTGAAAGACAAAGTTTACAAGTTAACTTGCATATAACTATGGACTTATACCTGACCTATGGTACTAAATATTAAAAAATATAAAGATCTTTACCAGTCAAAGTCTGCTCTGTGTTTTACCAGTCAAAGTCTATTTTCCATACTTATTATTCTAGATCGTTCTGAAAATTTTGTCTATTTAAAAAAGATTCCATAAGATTCAAAAGATCAAGAATAACTAATTTAAATATAGTACTGTTACTACAAAAAGCATTATTTTTGGTATTCTCACAAGTAGTTTTATCTATAGAGATGCAGATACTTGGAAAATGTTATACATGTTGGAGTTACTGGTACCTCACTCTCTGGAACTCATATCTTTTTAAAAATATTGAAATGATTTGAATTGAAAACACATTTAACATTAACTAACTTCCATAAGAAGTACTCATTTGAGATGATTTAAAATTATGATACTTAGCAAATAATTCTGCCTTATCTATAGGAAAGATAATAAAATCAGGCCCTTATATGAGATAGAATATTATCATAGATGTAAATACAGGTTAACATCTATGCTTGCCTATTTGAAGAAGAAATAGTGTAAGGCCTTCTACAAGTAATTTTATTTTCTGTGAAAAGTTTTTTAATGAAAAATGATTTATTATCAAAAAAGTATAGCAGTAAAATTTGAAAGTTATTTTTAAAAATTTATAACCTTACTACACCTTTTTTATCATTTCATCTGGTGTTTCATAAGGCTCTACATCAGAAATATCTTCTTCATCAAATCCACCTGAATCTTTAAACTCTGAATAGTCTCCTAATTCACCTGCATTATCTAAACGACCATCTTCTGAATCTACAAGAAACTTTGCATTTCGGAAAGCATGCAGCCACAACTGGTATTGTTTCTCATCTACTGCTGCAAGTTTAACAGTAGGCTCACCTGATCGTCTGACTCTAAATATTAAAGGTTCCTCAGGATCTTTGAATACCTAATAGTAGATAAAAAAAATGATTTAAAAGGAGAAAAAATTACACAAGTTAAGCAACAAATTATTTTAGTAACAGAATATTTTTTATGATGAAATAGGATATTTATAGATTTTCATTGTGAGTATTTTTTATTGTAAAATCAGATAATCAACATTACATTCTTTATTTTAAAATAAGTATAATAAAAAAAGGAAGAAAAAAATTTTTTCTTCTTTTTTTTATTAAACTTATAAGAAATTTATTATACTTATAAGAAATTTTAAATCTTAAAATTTATTTCCTATATATTTTGATGAATTATAAAAATGCAAAATGTAAAAATGGTTTAATTACTTTGTATAGTTTCTTAACTAATAAAATATTCAATAGCTGTTAATATGATGATGATGATGATGATGATGATGATGATGATGATGATGATGATGATGATGATGATGATGATGATGATGATGATATGGATATGTAATAATGCAACTCAAATATACTGTATTGCAATGCAATTGGCTCAGTCTTTGAACCTTGTAACTTGAAAAATCTTTGTTTTCTAAACAGTAATTTCTTTGTCAGCATAAAATTTAGTATTTCAAGTTTGTTAAGCAGATTAAGACTTTTTGGTTTTAGGATTAAAATGTATCTATTTATTACTATGCATTTATTCCAACTTTTTTTTTAATGTTAATTTACTTCCCTAAGGCCACAAAGGCAAGGCCTTTTTGGCCTTTGCCTCCTTGTTTATTACGTTATTTTACCTTGCTACAAAGACAAGGTAAATTAACTTAATAAAAAAGGAGGCTACTTTAATTGTGAAATACAAACTTTGACAAACAAGGCTGCTGCGCTGAGAAACAAGTTAAGCACTATACTACCAGGAAAGTGGTAGGGATCAAACTTGGAACTTCTCGCTTATAAGGCAAGCCTTTTACCACTAGCACATAACTTATATTATATATTATAAGTGGCATGCTGGACTTACTAGTTGCTTTACTAAAAAGTATCTATTTTTGCAGGATTTTACCATATATGCTTGATTTGAAGGCCCATAAATATATAAATACTACATTTTATAATGAAATTTAACTTAGAATACATTAAGTAGCAATACATTGCATTATAAAAACATTTGGTTTTTGCTGTCTTACTTTTGAATAAAACAAAAAAGGTTACACAAAATAATATAACTGGTGATTTTGTTCATACAAATTATTTCAAATTGTCTTTGAGTTCATACTAAACATTAATAAGACTTTTTATTTTTTTTTATTTTTTTTTGTCGTTTAAATTTCTTTTCTTGCTTTGAAATCACCTTTTTACATAACTTTTTATGTGATAACTCAGAACTTTGAGTATTAAAAAAAAACCTAGTTTAACAGCAATTTTTTTTGTTTAGGGAACTATATTTTCATGTATTCAAATAGCACAACTTTTTTTAATAATTAATTAATAATAGATAAACTTTTTTGTTTTCAAAAAATAAATTCAGTAGAAAAACTTTTTAAATAAGTAGATTTTTTTTTATCATTTTGAAAATATTTTGACCACATAAAAAAGTCAAATAAAAAACTTGATATTTCAACTCTACCAATTAAAAATAATCGATCGCTACCAATTAAAAAAAATATGATAATCGATGAAACAAGCAATAATTAAATTTGAAACTAAATAGTTTTAATGATAAAAAAATTGTAAGATTAAGCTATTTCATCTTACAATTTTTTTCAATATTTTAAAATCAGCATTTTGTGTTATCTTTTTTGAGCCCAACGATAATGTTTGCATTTATGCAAATTACTGATATACTAACGCATAAATTACTGATATACTAACGCATAAATTACTGATATACTAACGCATAAATTACTGATATACTAAGGCATAAAGTTTAACACTTTAAATCAGATAATTAAAAAAATTAAATTGTGAAAGCATAAATAAAGTGAATAAAAAATTATTTGCTGATCATTTAAAAAATATAGTAAAATAATTCTTTTTCCAAAAGGCCTTTATAAGATGAAAAGCTTAAGGCCCATGCGGGATTCATGCATAGCTTCTGGGGCCAGCATGCTACTGAATATTGTATATTTATTATAACTTATAAAAATCTAATACACAGCATTAGTCTGTATAACATGCGTTGAAAAAGAAATTTTTGTTTTATTTGAACAAAAATTGTATTTATAAATTTTGTATAATAAAATACTTTTAACTTAATGGTGTTTTTTTGTGTTTTAAAAGTACATAATTTATTTTATTTGAAGCACAAACCAATTTGAGATATACCTATAATATATGAGCTGGTGGTTGCAACCCTCTCTCAACTTTTAAACTATGAAACACAAACCTCAACAAACAAGGCTGCTGTGTGGATAATGAAGTTAAACAGGGTACTAACCGGAATAGGTGGAATAGATTGAACTTAAAACTCTTGTTTATAAAGCAAGCGCTCGACCACTAAACCACTACCTCAAACTCATACGTGGTGGGGATCGAAGTCTGAACTTCTTGCTTATAAAACTACTAAATCTGCAAACTTTGGCAAGTGCATAAAGAAGCACTTGCCAAAAAAACAAGAGTTTTTTTAAAATTACAATATATATTTTTCGTTCATCAAAAAGTAGAAAGACGATTTATTTTATTAAGAATTTAAATAAAACGTTGAATATGTTGTTTTTATTTCAATTATCTTATTTAATTATTTTATTTAGTACTTGAAAATTACTTCATAGTAAGGTCCAGGTGGTTTAGAAAAGTAATAGATGTATATAATTATATCATCAGTCAGGAGGAGTAATAACATCAGTCAGGAGGAGTAAATGGCATTGGTATCAATAAGTATTGTATTATTAAGTGTCAGCTAATTATACAACAAATAAATCAAAAAAAAAAAAAAAAAAAAAAAAAAAAAGAATAAATATAAAATTAAGATAAAATTTTGATTCTAAGAATTCATTTAGACAGCCATTAAAAATATAAAAATAACCTCCATTGAGATTTTTAAATAATGCAATACAAGAGTTTAAAAGCACAGAACATTAACTTCAATAAACATAAAATTTCTGTTGCAAAACTAATAAATGATGTTAGTAAAATCATCTTAAAATTGTCTCTACATAACACAAAAACACTTTGTAAATTTTTATAAGGCTACCTTTTAAATAATTTTTTTAAATTAAAATAACATATATAAATATCAAAAATTTTATGAAAAAAACTGATAAAGAAAAAATGCGGTAATTAAACTACAAAAATGTTTTATGTTCTTTAGGAAATGACTGTCAGAGAAAAAAAAATTACATATTTTTACATTTTTACATTTTTACATTACATGCTTTTTTTCTTTGATTTTTTTTTTAATATTGAATAATTAAATTCAATAATAGATTTTTTTGATGTTTAATATAAACTATTTTTTTTCTTTTCTTAACATTAGTATATAGAATTAAAATGTTAACTTATTATTTAAAATATTAAAACATTAATCTTTTTTTTACTTATTTTAAGTTGTAATTTTGGCTTTGCTACTAAACTTGATTTTTTTTATTTTTATAAAGTTTGCAAGTAAAAAATAAAAAGTATAACTTATTGCAAAAAGAAATAAAAACTACTTAATTACTTCACTAGCAATTTTGTTATGAAAGATTATTTTACTTTAATTAATTACTTCTTTTATCATCTTAAGAAAAAGACTTTTTCATTGAAATAAAGTCAAAATGGTAAAAACTAGAAAGTATTATATTGTAATACCCATTAACAAGGTGTTGCTTGTTACTAAATCTTCATAGTAGTGTACAGAGAAAAAAATTCTGAAATTAAAAACTTGTTTTATGATTATTCGAGAAACTTATATACCACTTTAAACAATTTTTTTTTGAATGTCAAAATGTAATTTAAAATAAAAAAATGTTACTGATAATGCTGATACTCCATTGATGGAACCAACGTTGATGGAACCATTGTATATTGTAGTTTTTTGGTTTAAGTTAGTTTTACTCATTAAAACATTTAGATTTTAAAAAAGGATATAAAAAAAATAATTGTAAAGTTTTTATTTAAAATAGTACTGTTTGCTTAATCAAAATGAACATAGACACAAAGTAAAACTTGCAAAAGAACACAGTGTGGTATAAAAACATAAAAAGCCATTTTTTTGAAATTTGTGTTTATAAACATATAATAAATACTTTAACAATACCAAAAAAAAAAGTTTTATTTTATTTTTAATATTAATTTTCTCTTGTTTTCATTTAAAGTCTATATACTATATATACTATATACTTTACCCTAAAAAAACCCATAACAGACAGCTGATACATGTTTTACATTAGGTTTTACGAGTTTGTATTGAGCTATTATTATTATTTTGGAATCAAGTTGTTGTTATTACTTTTTTGGATAGAAAGGAGTGCAGAAGTACTATTTTAAAAAATTAGTTTTGAAAATGTTGAAAAGCCTATCTTTTAATATTTTTTTATTAGGAAAAAAGAAGTCTGTTTGGCAATGAATTCTGTGCAGTTTTAATATTTAAAACCAAAACTCTGTTAATTCTTTTCATTTGAAAGTTAAAGTATATATCATTTAGACATTCATTATGGTAAATACCATTAAAAAAATAAGTTTGAAAACTTTTTAAAAAAATTTTATAGCATCTGTTTTTTTTTTTTAGAAAATCAAAATACAAGATTTGCAGTGTTATTATGACTATTAGATAATTTGACTGTCAACTAAACCGACTTATATATTTTATAAAAAAAAAATAATCAACTAACACATTTTTGAAATTGACTAAGTCAAATAAAAGTCGATTTAGTTGAAGTATGCTAATAATTAATTGTTTTTTCTTTTTAAATAAATTGTAATAAAAATAATAGTGTAATTTATATTCGCTTTTTATTTTTTAGTATTATATCATTTAAATAATAATGGAGGAGATTTATACTATTCACAGAAACTAATAATTCAGGGACCACCTTGAAGGTGCAGCTCCAAACAGTTAAGGAAAAAA